TTATTTCAGTAAGCAGTACTTATTGATCTACAGTGTTCCCTCACTTATTGCGGGTGTTACGTTCCAAGACCACCCGTGAAAAGTGAAAATCCGTGAAATAGGAACGCTATACATATATATTGCTAGCTATAAGGAAGGGGCTATAAGGCCATGATTTACATACTGCTTTGTATCTCCTCTCTCTCTTTTTTTAATGATTGGCTGCCTCTCTCCCGAGGGGGAGGGTGAAACCCCTTTCCACACACCATCATTGCCTGGAGGCAAAAACCCGTGAAACAGCAAGTCTGCAAAAAGCGAACCGTGAAGTAGCGAGTGAACACTGTACTCACATTTGCATGTTTTCAAACTACGAGGTTGGTAGAAGCTGGTGCTAACAGCAGGAGCTCATACCACCTCCCGGATTTGAACCTGCAACCTTTCGGTTAGAAAGTTCAGCAGCTCAGCGGTTTAATCCACTGTGCCACTGGGGACTCCAGAACAAACACTAGTCTTACATTAATAATGAATGGATTCCTATATGTTGACATATTCCAAGCAGAATTATCCTTTTAAATTCAGAGCAAAGTAAGCAAAGTAATTTTTTCAAGAAATTGGCCTCTCTTTAGGGACTAAGCACTATGGCATCAATACAAACTTGGTGCCAGATAATGGCCTCAGCCATCATCTTTCTCCCTGGAGATTAATAATGCAGTGATATGGGTGGACAAGAATTGTACAAAGTGGGATGTCACCTAATACTGGACACAAACACATTGCTGTCATATTGAAATAGCTGACCTCTTCCAAAAGGAAGGAACTATTATCCATCTGTCATATTAAGTACAAATCAAAGGGCATTTATTTATTTATTATTTATTGTTGTTATTATTACATTTATTATTTTACTCTATTTATTATTGTTATTGTTACATTTATTATTTTACTCTATTATTATTATTATTATTATTATTATTATTATTATTATTATTATTTTACTCTATTATTATTGGCATGTAAGCATATTTACATTGAAAGGTTAGAATAATGGTTTAATCAGAGTTGGACAGTCTTATCTTAAATAACAGTTTTATGTAAATATTCAAAAACATTTAACCTACTGATGCCTCAATTAATAATTTTATTGGTATCTGTTTACCAGTAGCTGCTGCATTTCCCACCCTCAGCTTATATTCAAGTCAATCCATTTTCCCATTTTTTGTGGTAAAATTAGGTGCCTCGGCTTGTATTTGGGTCGGCTTATACTTGAGTATATACTATACTATTAGCAAGGCAAACCTACCTCCTCTCCCTTTTCGTTTGAATTGGGGCCCTTGTATCTGTTGTCTTGGGGGAGCATGTCTAGTTGGGAATCACAGGGACACATGAAAATAGGCATGTTCTCAAATGCACACATTATATATGAGTTTTCCTGGCTGTATGGCCATGTTCCAGAAGCATTCTCTCCTGCCGTTTCGCCCACATATATATATATATATATATATATATATATATATATATATATATAGTATTTACTTATATATATATAAACACACATATATATATATACACACACACACATATATATATTGTCTTTACTAATTATATATATATATAGACAAGATGAAAAGCTATTGAAAAGCACTGATATCACCATTGAGTTAAACACAGAAATCCCAGTAATAATATTTCTCTCTCATTAACCTTTTTTTCTTTTTCTCGTGCCCATCATGCTACAGAAAGGGAAGGAGATGCTGCGGTGACATTAAAAGGAGGAAAAGATAAGAACCAAAATATTAAGGAAGTCCTATCCTTTAACAATAAGCAGTTGGGGACGTGGGGGTGCAAAAGGTTCAGCTTTAAAGCCCTGGATTCAAATCTGATTTGATGTCCACTCTACCCAAGAGCAGCAGTTTGGAGTGTTGGGTTGCTGTGAGTTACGGAGAAAGTAGATGCTTCCTCTCTTGGGGTCCGAAGGCCGTAATGTAGGGAGAAACTGACACCTATTGGTAACTTTAAGATTACTTCGCAAAGCAATCTTATTTTTTTCCTCTTTCAAGAAAAGCTGCTGATTCCAGCTTTAAAACAGACTTGCCCTATGTTGAAATACTTCAGACAGAGAAAATTCAAGCCCGCTCCTTTGATTTTAAGCATACTTGGCTACAGCTTTCCTTTTAAGGACAAAAAATTAGTGTGAGCTTCGATTCAAGCATCTTTAATAGCGGAAGGAGGAGACCTAGTAAGCACATCTATAGATCAAGGCCCACTCCTCCTTCGGAGGAGTTTACATTCAATATTTAGAGTGACAAATAGACATTCTGCTTACAAAAGCCAAGTTGGTACTATTAGCAAGGCAAACCTACCTCCTCTCCCTTTTCGTTTGAATTGGGGCCCTTGTATCTGTTGTCTTGGGGGAGCATGTCTAGTTGGGAATCACAGGGACACATGAAAATAGGCATGTTCTCAAATGCACACATTATATATGAGTTTTCCTGGCTGTATGGCCATGTTCCAGAAGCATTCTCTCCTGACGTTTCGCCCACCTCTATGGCAGGCATCCTCAGAGGTTGTGAAGTCTGTTGGAAACTAGGCAAGTGAGGTTTATATGTCTGTGGAATATACAAGATGGGAGAAAGAACTCTTGCCTTCTTGAGGCGAGTGTGAATGTTGCAATTGCCACCTTGATTAGCATTGAATGGCCTTGCAGCTTCAAAGACTGGCTGCTTCCTGCCTGTGGGATTCTTTGCTGAGAGGTGTAAGTTGGCCCTGATTGTTTCATGTCTGGAATTCCCCTGTCTTCTGAGTGTTGTTCTTTATTTACTGTCCCGATTTTAGAGGTTTTACTACTGATAGCCAGATTGTGCTCCCCCAAGCAGGAAAAAACCAGGCTTTGAAGCTACAAGGCTATTTTGGCTAATGGAGTTCGTGCCCTCCAAATAGGATGTACTGCCCTACAACTCTGTGTGTTTTATGAGTTCCATTTAAACTTCCTGCTCCTATTTTATCTCATCATAGTCTGTTAATTGTTTTTTATTCAGAATATGTGGCCTGCCCATTGTCATCTCTATCGTGATTGTGTCTATTGGAATTTTTATTTTATTTCATTTTTATTATTACTATTATTTTATTATTATTTTAATGTCATTTTGATAATGTTGTTGTTGTTTGATGTATATGTTTTGATTTTATTGCTGTATTGTGTTGTCCGGGCTTGGCCCCATGTAAGCCGCTCCGAGTCCCCATCGGGGAGATGGTGGCGGGGTAGAAATAAAGATTATTATTATTATTATTATTATTATTCAGTGCTAATCAAGATGGCCAATTTAATGACTGATTTGTATAAGGCCTGTCCCATCTGAACAATGTGCCAGGTCTTGCGAATTGTTATGCGAGTGTGTTCATGTGTGTTTCACAGTGAATATTTTAATTTGACTTTTAAAATCATATGATCACTCTTTTGAACTTTTTACATTTGTGAATGTTGGACTACATGCTTTTTTAATTTGTTGTAAGTTACTTTCTGGTAAAAGGAGGAATAGAAATAATAATAATAATAATAATAATAATAATAATAATATCTCAGGCGGCATTTGGAAACAATAAGCACTGACAAAATCACAAACTGTCAACTGTAAAAGACCACCTTACATGAATTTGTGCGCATCATTCAAAAATACATCACACAGTCCTAAACGCTTGGGAAGTGTTCAACTTGTGATTTTGTGATACGAAATCCAGCATATAGATCTCATTTGCTGGGTCATACTGTGTTTTTGTGTCAGTAAAATCATAACAACAATTATATACCCCATAAATGGCACAACAACAACAACAACAACAATTATATACTCCATTAATGGCAAAACAACAACTATATACTCCATTAATAGCACAACAACAACAACCTTCCCCAGGCAGGAAGCAGCCAAGCTATGAAGCTGCAAGGTCATTCAATGCTAATCAAGGTGGCCAATGGCAACATTCACACTTGCCTCAAGCAGACAATAATTCTTTCTCCCACCCTGGACATTATTCCACAGGTATATATGAACCTCACTTGCCTAGTTTCCAACAGATCCCTCAATCTCTGAGGATTGCCTGCCATAGATGTGGGTGAAACATCAGGAGAGAATGCTTCTGGTCAGATATAAGCTGAGGTTTTCAGCCTAAAAAATGGCTGAAAACCTCAGCTTATACTACAGTATATACTGTAATTTGTATCTGGTCATTTTATATGTCTGTTTCAACTGATGTTTTGGTACTCCAGTCCAAGATTCCAGGTTGATATACAATATAGATCTCGTTTGCTGTGTCATACTGTGTTTTAGTGTCAGGAAAATCATAACAACAATTATATAATCCATTAATGGCACAACAACAACAACAACAACAACTATATACTCCATTAATGGCACAACAGCATCAACAACAACAATTATATACTCCATTAATAGCACAACAGCAACAGCGACAACAATTAAATACTCCATAACAACAACAACACAACAACTATATACTCCATAAATGACACTGCTTTTGCATGTGTCTCACTGCAAATACATCTTGGAAAAGCATTATACTGAAAGAAAGTCCGAACCATAACTTCTTAAACTAAATTAAACTCATCATGACAGTCAAATGAAGGTTGTTGACAGGCTGGAAAGAATGAGGAGCAAAAGGTGACACTCCAATGTGAATGAACGGGTGTTGCATATCAAGACAATCTAAGGGGAATGAATGGGCGCAGTGTAACATCACATGTCTCTGGTGGAAACTATTATACCTTTCAGCAGGGATTCCTGCAGAATTAATTCCCACATTATTAAGAATAGTAGATGTTCATCACATCAACAATAGCTCCCAGATCTGTCTCAAGAGTATCAGCAAGACCAGCGGAGAAGGAACCTGAAAGTATCTCACAGGTAATACAGGCCAAAGTCGGTGTTCAAAGATGTACATTTCTGGTTTTAGTAGAGATAGTTAAATGATACAAAATGTGAAAAGTAGACAAACAGACAACTCACTTGTGACAAAGAACTTCTTGGTGAAGGTACAGCTGTCAAAGGCGGCTATTTTCTCTTGCAAAACGACAACAAGAATCCTGAAAAGACAAAATAAAAATGAATAATATATCAAAATACCCAAACTGGAAGGGGATAATTAAACACTGTGGAAGACTATCACAACAATCAACCTTTCATTGGTTTTGGACTCTTAACTCCCATAGCTCCTAACAGTCGGAATCTGAGCTGTTAGGCTCAAAAATAACCTTCAGTTGGGATGATTCCAATAAATATATTAGAGTAACAGAAGTAAACTTCAAAACCAGTAGAAACTTACATGTGATGGGCTGGGATATATGCATAGGGATGTGGAGAGGAGGGTGGGGGGGAGGGATCACCCAGCCTAATCTTATCTCTCTAGTCTAGCTACTCAATGAAGTCTGGAACCTTGATGACACAAGAGACTTGTGCAGTCCAGGATGAAACCTATCAAATATGGTTTTCTGTGGGTGAGCAGATGGTGGCTACTAAATGGCATATGTTCTGTGTCAGAAACTAGAGCTGATGTGGTCTATCCAAGGCAATTATCTGAATCAGCACCCCAAATAACCAAGGTGAATCTAAAGTTGACCAAAATCTGATTCGTAGCTCTTTTGGTACTAACGTTGGAGAGGGGTCCCTGGTCAAAGTGGTCCCTAGTCTAGGGGTCCCTGGTCGAAGTGGTCCCTAGTCTAGTAGTCCCTAGTCTAGTGGTCCCTGGTCAAAATGGTCCCTGGTCAAAATGGTTCCTAGTCAAGTGGTCCCTAGTCAAAGTGGTCCCTAGTCAAGTGGTCCCTGGTCAAGTGATCCCTAGTAAAAGTGGTCCCTAGTCAAAATGGTCCTTAGTCAAAATGGTCACTGGACAATTTGTTCTTGGTCAAAGTGGTCCTTCGTCCAAGTGGTCCCTGGCCAAAGTGGTATCTGGTCAAAGTGGTCCCTAGTCAAATGGCCCCTGGTCAAGTTATCCCTGGTCAAAGTGGTCCCTGGTCAAAATGGTCCTTTGTCCAAGTGGTCCCTGGTCCAAGTTGTCCCTAGTCAAGTGGTCCCTAGTCCAGTGGTCCCTAGTCAAGTGGTCCCTGGTCAAAGTGGTTCCTGGTCAAGTGGTCCCTGGTCAAAGTGGTATCTGGTCAAGTGGTCCCTGGTCAAAGTGGTCCCTAGTCAAGTGGTCCCTGGTCAAAGTGGTTCCTGGTCAAGTGGTCCCTGGTCAAAGTGGTATCTTGTCAAAGTGGTTCCTAGTTATGTGGTTCCTGGTCAAAGTGGTTCCTGGTCAAAGTGGTTTCTAGTCAAAGTAGTCCGTGGTCAAAAAAAGGTTGGGAACCACTGCTATATACAGAATGAACAAGGTGTCAAAATCCTCATATTTTGGGGTGTGGACTCTTCATAAAGAAAGATACCTGTGCATCCTGTAATTTATGAATGTCGACAATATGTTAATATTACAGAGAAATGCATGGCTACATTAACTTTCACTGCTCATCTAGGAAGAACGCAACGTTGCTAACAATGATGTGGCATAGGGGGCAAAGCCTGTGACTCTTTAATAAAACTGATGTTATACTAAATATAATTTATTCAAGGGGGGGTGCACTATTAAAAAAGGATTCATTTCTCCTCAGCAACTCAAAAAAAGAAAATCCACTAAAGGCACCCAGCACATTAATCTAAAAAAGTGTTTCATCCTGAAAAATAATCACATTTCTGTTTCTCATTGCAAATCTGCCAGGCCTAACAGCCCTGCCTTATTTTGCTAAAAGTGTTTTTGTTTATTCACCCACCCACCATACAATGGAATTAAGAGGGAGGATGGATAGGAAAGGGACAGGGTTTATGTAATAAATCACTTAAAACGATTACCAGGACATGAAGTGCAAGGACAAAAAATATATTTAAAAAATAAAATCAAGGGGAGAGTAACTGGGGAGACATTGTAGAATTGGGCAACATGCCACGCCAGAAAGGGTTTTACGGAGCCCTCTAGGAAGAAGAGCTCACCTTCTCTATGAAACCACACTTCTCGCTTGTTTCTTAAGCGCTTAAATTGATTCTTTTGTCTGGTTTTTAATTGGCAGTGGATCAGAACAAAGGAGATCTAGTCCGGCGCCCTCATTCCCACAGTAGGCAACCAAGTGCCTCAATAGGAAGTCCACAAACAGAACATGAGAGCAACAGGCTTCCATCCTCTGCACTCTCTCCAGGAAGTGACATTAATTTGTGTAGGTTTGCTCTTTGATACCCTACAGAGTAGGACCAGGCCTAAGTATTTTAAGTTATAGGAGGAGATTAGTCCCAATCTAAGCCGCCCCGAGTCCCTTTGGGGAGATGGTGGTGAGGTATAACAATAATATTTTTGTTGTTGTTGGTATGGGTGCCTATATATGTGTATACTTTAATCCACCCTGAGTCCCCTTGGGGAGATAGAGCAGAATAAAAATAAAGTGTATTATTATTATTATTATTATTATTGGAACAGGAAGATGTTTTTGAAGAAGTACCTTTTGTTGCAGTGGAGGTCATAAATAGGTGTTTTGAACTGCACAGATTTGACCATTTCACCGGTCCGCAAAGAATGCAAGTCGACACAACAGTAAGGAGGGCTGGTGCTGAAAGAGAAATGGGAGATGCATGAGCTCATCTACACCATGAAGGCCCTCTTCAGATGGTCTCAAAACTTGAGCAGGTTCGAGTCAGGAGGTAAGGTTGTTAACACAGTCTGGAAACATGCTATATAGCACTTCGTTGCCTGGGACAGGAGACAAATTGGTAGACAAGGATGCTGTTGCAACAATCTATCTATATCTTATCAATACACATAATGAAAGTGAAAACGTGTATGTGGCAGAGGTATCTATTTACACAGTCAGCTTCCTGCCCCCCAAAACAGCTATAGTTCTTACTGAGCAAAAGACACCCATGGCCTGCCCTCCACTGACATTACAGGTTATAGTGAGCACCACGAACATGTAGCACAAACCATGCCAGTGCCCTCCATAAACACCATACTGCCCCCCACTCAAGTGAAGGTTTTCATGCGGGATCCTAGATGTTCTGTTTTTCCTCTAGAATGGACATCCCAGGGTTCCTTTCTCTCTCCATTGGTGTGGAAATTGCACAACCTCACCCACCGCCTGATCAGCAACTGAACAAGAGGTTTGGGGAGAATTCATCATGATTAACAAGAGTTGTACTTGACCTACATCCACAGAGGACTGTTAACGCAACCAATGATGGACCTGGACAAAATCAACGACGAATCTGGACCAAACTTAAGTGATATTACCTAACATCCCAAAACAAACAATGCCTTCTTCTAATAACCCAAGCACCGCCGGGTCCCCAAGCTAGTTCCATATAATTATAAGATGATGAGACGGTTCACTTGCCCTACAAAAAACAAAAATATTAGTGGATTCCCTCTCCTCTTCCTCCACTATTCCTTTTTCCTTTTCTGTCATTTCTTTTTAGACATAAGCCAGCTTGTTCTTATGCTGAGTCAGTATTACCATATTGGGTTGTTGTAGGTTTTTCCGGGCTATATGGCCATGTTCTAGAGGCCTTTTCTCCTGACGTTTTGCCTGCATCTATGGCAAGCATCCTCAGAGGTTTGGCCGCTGCGTTTGGTGGTCCCTATGTAGACTTGTGCACAGCTGCATGGAATACGGTAGACTCCTGCAGAGGTGAGAGGATCCCTCTTGTCGTTTGCTGAACGTAGCATTTGTTGGATTTTTTTGGTGGGTCAGTAGGTGGTTTGTATGTGGTTTCATTCAGGCGTCAGCATCCTGGTTACCCAACGTGCACAGATCTTCCGATAGCCAAGCCAAGCAATAATGTGACCCACACGTTTTTGTGAAATGTCGATTATGCTTAGAATTTCTCTCCGAATGATACGATTGTCCTGAATCAATCTGTCAATCTTTTGCTTGTGAAACTCAGTGGTTGCTGTCAGAGGACGGACAACCTTTTGTTTGTCACGCAAGTCAGATGTTCCAACCTCAACATCTTTAAACTAACTTGCCCAATGACACACAGGACTCACACCAACACAATCACCATAAACAACTTGCATTCTCTGATTAATCTCCTTTGGGGTGACACCTCCTGCTGTCAAGAATTCAATGACTGCACGTTGCTTAAGTCTCATTGACTGACCGTCTGCGTAGAGTTGTTGTAGGCTTTTTCGGGCTATATGGCCATGGTCTAGAGGCATTCTCTCCTGACGTTCTGCCTGCATCTATGTCAAGCATCATCAGAGGTAGTGAGGTCTGTTGGAACTAGGGAGAAGGGTTTATATATCTGTGGAATGATCAGGGTGAGACAAAGGACTCTTGTCTGCTGGAGCTAGGTGTGAATGTTTCAACTGACCACCTTGATTTGCATATAATGGCCTGACATTGCCTAGAGCAAACTTTTGTTGAGAGGTGATTAGATGTCCTTGTTTGTTTCCTCTCTGTTGTTGTGCTGTTGTAATTTTGGAGTTTTTTAATACTGGTAGCCAGATTTTGTTTATTTTCATGGTTTCCTCCTTTCTGTTGAAATTGTCCACATGCTTGTGGATTTCAATGGCTTCTCTGTGTAGTCTGACATGGTGGTTGTGAGAGTGGTCCGGCATTTCTGTGTTCTCAAATAAAATGCTGTGTTCAGGTTGGTTTATCAGGTGCTCTGCTGTGGCTGATTTCTCTAGTTGAAGTAGTCTGCAGTGCCTTTCATGTTCCTTGATTCGTGTTTGGGCAACGCTTGCGTTTCGTGGTCCCTATGTAGACTTGTCCACAGCTGGATACCATGCAACAGAGAGGAAACAAACAAGGACATCTAATCACCTCTCAACAAAAGTTTACTCTAGGCACTGTCAGGCCATTATATGCAAATCAAGGTGGTCAGCTGAAACATTCACACCTAGCTCCAGCAGACAGGAGTCCTTTGTCTCACCCTGGTCATTCCACAGATATATAAACCCCCTTTTTCTAGTTCAACAGACTTCACTACCTCTGAGAATGCTTGCCATAGATTCAGGTGAAATGTCAGGAGAGAATGCCTCTAGACCATGGTCATATAGGCCGAAAAAACCAACAATCCAGTGATTCCGGCCATGAAAGCCTTCGACAATACGTCTGTGTAGGGTTTCATACTTCTATTTTAACAACACAACTGTTCAATGCTAAGGCTTCCCACCAAAAAGGAACTGTAGAGGAGAGTCTACTGAACAAGCCAGTACCTGCCACATACCAGTACTGCCAACTGTTGAGGAGTTATGAAGGTGGAGGCATTACTTTTCACTTTAACAACACAACTGTTCAATGCTAAGGCTTCCCACCAGAATGGAACTGTAGAGGAGAGTCTACTGAACAAGCCAGTACCTACCGCATACCAGTACTGCCATCTGTTGAGGAGTTACGAAGGTGGAGGCATTACTTTTCACTTTAACAACACAACTGTTCAATGCTAAGGCTTCCCACCAGAATGGAACTGTAGAGGAGTCTACTGAACAAGCCAGTACCTACCGCATACCAGTACTGCCATCTGTTGAGGAGTTACGAAAGTGGAGGCTTTACTTTTCACTTTAACAACACAACTGTTCAATGCTAAGGCTTCCCACCAGAATGGAACTGTAGAGAAGCGTCTACTGAACAAGCCAGTACCTGCCGCATACCAGTACTGCCATCTGTTGAGGAGTTACGAAGGTGGAGGCATTACTTTTCACTTTAACAACACAATTGTTCAATGCTAAGGTTTCCCACCAGAATGGAACTGTAGAGAAGAGTTTACTGAACAAGCCAGTATCTGCCGCATACCAGTACTGCCATCTGTTACAAAGGTGGAGGCATTACTTTTCATTCAGCCCTCGTATGATTCTATGATTCACACAAACAACCAGTGGGACAAAGTGGGGAAACCACAACACAATGGCAAAGTTTCACACATTTTAACAGGATGGAACTTAATGGAGGAGAAGGAAGGGAAGCGTCCCACGATCCCTGCACAATATAGTTCCCGGCCTAGTGTTTTGACACATGGACTCTTAAAGGATCCTGGGTGGCCAAGGAGCTTGAGATTTCACTTTGGAAAACACACACGTCGCTGGAAGGGCTGCTCAGATCTTAATGGGCCAACAGCTGAACCGCACAGCTGCTTGCAACATCCCAGTACAAAGAACCCATGGTCGCTTTAACAGACGCCTTATTTGTTTTAACAACAACACAAAATTCGTATGTAGCACGTGCCACTTTTATCATTTTAATATAAATAAGTCTCTCCAGCTGTTGCTTCATTAAAAGCCAGCTTTCTTCCAACGACGAGAGTGTAGACGGCTACGCAAGAGGCAAAAGGGAGAGCGGTGGGCGCCATTTTGCGAGCCAGAAGGCGGCTTTGATCTGGCCGGTTGCTCCTGCGACACTTTTCCCGCCTCCGCAAAGGTTGGCTTTTGCAAGGCCCTGCACGCTGGAACTTAGGCAAAATGGACAGCTGTGTAAATACAGAACAAAAAATTATTTTGCTACAGAAAGGAAAAATAAGAACAGGGTTTTCTACTACTTCGCCGCACTCAAGCTGGAGATAAAGTGGTGAAGGCATGTGTGAGCTGGGCCACAACAGAAGTATACGTGGGCGCATGCAACTGAACGATCCTCAATATTAAAACATTGAAACAGGATGAAAAACACGGATACGTAAAAGCGTGAAGAAATAACTGGTGCGTAACCACTCTCGTTATAGTTTCCAATGACTAGGTTTTGACACAGTGAAACATTTAGTCCTACAAATCATTTGACAGCAGTGTTTCTCAACTTGGGGGTCGGGATCTTTGGAGGGTTGCAAGGGGGTGTCAGAAAACACAGTATTGTCTGTTGGCTCTATGTGGAAAGTCTGGCCCAGTTCTATTGTTAGTGGGGTTCAGAATGCTCTTTGATTGTAGGTGAACTATAAATCCCAGCAACTACAACTCCCAAATATCAAAGTCTGTTTCCCCCAAACTCCATCAGCATTCGCATTTCGGCATATTGAGTATTCATGCCTGGTTTGGTCCAGATCCATCATTGTTTGAGTCCACAGTGCTCTCTGGATATAGGTGAACGATAACTCCCAAACTCAAGGTCAATGCCTACCAAACCCTTCCAGTATTTTCTGTTGGTCATGGGAGTGTTATGTGCCAAAATTGGTTCAATTCCATCATTGGTGGAGTTCAGAATGCTCTTTGATTGTAGGTGAACTATAAATCCCAGCAACGACAACTCCCAAATGTAAAGGCCTATTTTCCCAAAACTCCACCAGCGTTCACATTTTGGCATATTGAGTATTCATGCCAAGTTTGGTCCAGATCCATCGTTGTTTGAGTCCACAGTGCTCTCTAGATAAAGGTGAACTACAACTCCCAAACTCAAGGTCAATGCCCACCAAACCCTTCCAGTATTTTCTGTTGGTCATGGGAGTTCTGTGTGCGAAGTCTGGTTCAATTCCATCATTGGTGGAGTTCAGAATGCTCTTTGATTGGAAGTGAACTATAAATCCCAGCAACTACAACTCCCAAATGTAAAGGCCTATTTTCCCCAAACTTCACCAGTGTTCACATTTCGGCATATTGAGTATTCATGCCAAGTTTGGTCCAGATCCA